AATATATATATATATATATACTCACTGGTGAGAGATAGGAAGAGGGAAAGTGGGAAAGTAGCCCCCCAGGAGGATAGCTGTAGCACATTCTCTTCTCCATTATTTCAGGATTTGGGACACATGCCCTGCATGTTTTTCAAGCCATTGGGTCCAGGACTTGAACTGCACAGTCGACTAAGTGGAATCTAGACACCTTAACTACCATGCCACCAGCTAGGCCACTGTTTTTGACTTGTATACTGAAATAGTTTTTGTAACTGGTAATTTCCTTTAGGTCACAGGTCTGATCACATTGTTCATATTTAAACTCCTGAAGAGAACATTGAATGACTCAGTAAATATGAATGGCTTGGTAATAAAGAACTAAATATTTTTCTGTATTCCTTTTCCACATCCTGTAACCTCTTCCTTTGCGTTCTTCCTAGCTATTATATTCTTTTTCTTCTGTGACTTGTACCATTCTTTTTTTTTTTGGAGAGGTTTTTTGCTATAGGGCATGTGCGCTCGCCAGAGAGATAGAATGCGAGAAATCACCCCCCAGGGGGGATGGCCACGCTGCAGTCCCTTCTCTTCCATTCTCCTCTTGGGATCTTGGGCACAAACGCACACGTACCCAGTGTGAGTTTAAGCCAACGGGTCCTGGAATCGAACTGTGGTCGACTACATGGGAATTCAGCGGCATAGCCATTATGCTAACTGCTGGTCCCTGTACCATTCTTTTTTTAAGAGAGATTTTTGCTATAGGGTGTGTGCACTCCACAGAGAGACAGAAAGCAACAAATAACCCCCTGAGGGGATGGCCATTTTGCAGGCCCTTCTCCATGCTCCTCTTAGGATTTTAGGCATTCGTGCATATGTGCCCAGCTTGAATTTTAAGCCTCCAGGTCTGGGGCTCAAATTGCAGTCGACTATGTGGGAGTCCAGTGATGTAACTATTACACCATCTGCTGGTCCCTCATTCTTTTTTTTAAATTACTACCCTTTATGAGGTCTTTATTTTTAAGTTTATTAATTTCTCAAGAAAGACGAGCACCCTCAACAGGATCTTATACTGTGATCACAACCCTGAGCCTTCCCAGCCAGCCAGGGTCATGGCCGTGTATGTCTGGCATGTACAGCTCAACCAGGGAACTGAACCCTTGATTTTACATATGGATCCACATTACTGAGCAGCTTGTTACCTCTGTGTTACCTAGCTGGCTCTGTTTCATTCTTTTTTTTTTTTTTTCTTTTCCAGTTAGAATAATTTTTATTACTTAAATATAAAAAGTGAGGGGCTGTCAGGTGTTGTGGTGAAGGGCACGGGACTTTGACACGGCCAAATGCAGTTCAAGTCCCGGACCTGGCAGCTTGCTTTCTCACTCTCTCTGTCTGTCCCTCTCTGGTAAAGTAAAATAAAAGGAAAAGAAAGGGGAGAGAAGGGGAGGGGAGAGGAGGAGAGGGGGAGGAGAAGGGAGAGAAAGAAGGAAGGAAGGGAAGGTAGAGAGAAGGAGGGAAGGGAAGGGGAAAAGAAAGAAAAAAATAATATTAAAAGTGAGCACTGACATTTTTTTTTTTTTTAAATACACGAAGATTGTAAACTACAGTGTGCAGAGCACAGACACTCCTGCTCTGTCTTTCAGTCCCTGTCCTGTTGCTAAGGCTGCAACTGGCCTCTTCATCTCACAGGGAATCACTGTGGCCACCCTATGCTACACCTTCCCGCTGTAACGTATTGTGTCTGTCAGAACGTATGCATGTCCTTCTCCAGCATCTCTATTATCTAAGGGGAAAAAAACCCCAATACATTAACAGGGTTATGTCCCTCCACTGGCATCTGTTTCTGCCCAACAGTGTACTAATGAGATCCTCTGGTTAGGAGCAGTTTAGCGAACGGGGTGGGGGTGGCCAGAGCTGAAATAACTATCCGCATGTCTGTACTCTGATGTCAGAGTGAGGACAGAAGAAGTAAGTCAGGACTGTGTGGAGAACATCGTGCATATTGAGAGTCTCTTCATGACACCATGTGGGGAGAGTTTGCCCCACCAGGTTTAAATAGATCAGTGTGTCAACATTTAAAGAAAAATCCAACTTGCTTTCTCACTTTCCCTCTCTTTCTCTCGTCAATTTAAAATAAATGGATTAATAAATAAAATTAAATAATAATTTTTAAAAAATCCAAATAATCAGCAGTTCAAACACTATTCAGTTTCTAGCTTCTCTCAAGACAGCTCAGGCAGTAACAATCTAGATCTTTCCAGGAAGTGAAGGTAGAGCCCCTGGCATTCCTCCTAGCAGGCCTGTGTTAGGCCCTAAATGTATCTGTCACTGTGCAGTTGCTCCTTTTGCTCCGTTTGCAACTTCTCGATCTCAAAGACAACAGGAAGAACCAGGATCATAAACGAAGTGGTCCCAATCTGCAAGGCTGCCTTGGAAATCCTGTACACATTTTTAAAGAATTATTTATTAAGTGGTTAATTTATTTAAATTTGACCAGAGAGAGAAAGAGAGAGGGAAAGTGAGTCGCCAGGTCTGCGATTTGAACCATGGTTGGCCATGTGGGACTCCGGCACCCTAACCACCACACCACCTGCCAGCCCCATTTCTGAACATTTTGAGTTACAAAGACAGAGATAAAAAGTGGCTCTGGCTGCTGACCAGACCCACTCTGGGAACATCTCCATTAGACCCCACAGTCTTTACTTCAGACTCTCACTTGGCTCCTCCTGTCTTTTCTACTTTGCCTTTTGGAGCAATTCATCCAGGGACAGGGCGCCCCAGCACTGATAGCAGCAGTGGTAGTGGCAGCCATGACTGTCAGAGACACCAGAAGTCCCTATGTCATTCTTTTTTGCTAGAGGCCGGACAGTGGCACAGCAGTCAAATATATTGCTCTGTGAAGCTGGAAAGCTTCTGGGTTTGTGTCCAGAGATCTCTGAGTATTCTGGGTGTATCTACAGCCATGACTCTGGGCTGGCTGAGACTAGTAATAGATCGCAGCATGAAGACCTGACAGGGGATGCTGTCTCTCTCCCCCTCTGTTTCTCTCTCACTCATGGAAGAAATAAATAAACTGAAAAAAATATATAGTTATTACCAAGTGACTCAGAACTTTTGTAGTATTGGTATTTTGCTCCACACAATTTTATTTTATTTTGAATACATTTTAAATGTCATTTTTATGGCGTGGTTTGTTTTCACATGAGTTTTGCCCTGGGGTTCATAGGTTTGTGCTTTGTTAGACATTGGATTGGTTTTGGGGCAAGATGGGCCAAGTGTGGGAACTGTGGGGGTCTAACCTCTGTCTCTGTCCTTTATGAGCAGTACAGAATCAGTTAGTCATTGGCAGGATGGTATTTATAATTCTCATAATTGTTGCTATTGACGTAGAGGATGTTCTTGGTTTTCATTACTAAATTTTTCTTTTAAGGAGTAAACTACAAATTCTTGTGAGCCCCAATTCCTCCTTGTCCACAAAGCAATCGATGTTCCCATGGAGTGGTTTGATTTATGTACATTGTGACAATGGACAGAAGGTACTTGTTATAATTATTTTTTTTTAAGTTTTGAGCAACATTGTTATTTTTATAGCTTTAGTTTCATCTTTTCATAATAATCTTTATTAGCCCTTATATTTCAGAACTCAAATGAAGGTGTTTGTTCTTTCAGCCAAACCGATTAATCAGGTTTACTAAATTAGAACACCAAGTACAGAATAGTGATCTGTGTGATTCTTCAGTTAGTGATCTGCATGATTCTCTTGGGATAGAGAGTAAATGCAAGAGAGTGGAGTCTAGGACATGTTGCTGATTTGCAAAATTTGCTTTCAAGAAAACAGGGGGACCAGCAGTTAGTGTAATGGCTATGTCGCTGGACTCCCCTGTAGCTGACCGTGGTTCAAGTCCCAGACCCAGTGGCTTAAACTCACGCCGGGTGCGTGTGCATGCGTGCCCAAGATCCTGAGAGGAGAATAGAGAAGGGATTGCGGCGTGGCCATCCCCCCCTGGGAGGTGATTTCTCGCTTTCTGTCTCTCTCTGTTTTTCTGGCAAGTGCACGAGCCCTATGGCAAAAACCTCTCCCCCCCCAAAAAAAAGAGAGAAAGAAAGGAGGGAATTACAGGTGATGTAACAGTTATGTTGCTGGAGTCCCACGTAGTCGCCTGCAGTTTGAGTCCTGGACTTGCTGGCTTAAAACTCATGTCAGGTGCATGTGTGTGTGTGCCCAAGATCCTGAGAGGAAAAAGGATTGCATCTACCCCCCCAGGGGAAGGTGATTTCTTACTTGCTGTTTCTCTGGCGAGTGCACGTACCCTATAGCAAAAATCTCTCTCAAAAAAACAAAAAAGGCAAGCGGTGGAGTAGTAGTAAATAGGAGATAGAGGCAAATATTTATTTTGTTTGAGATCTGAATAAACTTTAATTTCAAAATTCACTAATATTTCATTTGTTTGGCATTTTTTCCTCTGTTAATGATTTAAAATATGTAATTATTTCTTTTAAAGTTAGCTATATTTGTGTCTTTTCCTTTTATTCTTTTCAGAAAATTGTGAAAGTCCAAATTCGTGAAGATTTAACTCAAAAAGAACTTTTAACTCATTTGGCGTCTGGTCCATTTGGAATTCTTACCCCAGAAACAGAGACTGCAGTTAGTCACTTGGTAAAACCAATGACAAAACCACCTCCCACAAAAGTTGAAATAAGAAACAAGACTGTTAATTTCCCCACAACAGAACCTGGTAAAACTTCAGGTATTGTATCACTAAATTATATAACTTGAATGTCTATTAATATGTTGAGTCTAATGGTCTATTCTTAGTTTACCATAAGGTAGTGATAAGTACAGGTTACCCCCTCCCCCCGCCCGCTTTCTTCAGGAGAAAAAGTAGTCATTGGCAGTCATTTCAATAATGAGCTAGAGTTAGGTATTTAACAATCTGAAAATGTGAAATAAGGCATTTAATAATTCTGTTCTAATACCTGTATTTTTGGGATCTTAGATTTTATATGATGGTCAGAATCATCCCTCCTCATCTCTCACCAGCTCTTTGACCAGGATTGTTGGACTGGTTTCTGTTTCCTCACAGAATCTTCTCTGCTTGTTATCTAGGCCCATATATTCTTGCCTTCTTGAGTAGCTCCTATTGACCCTCCTATCTCCTGGGTTATCAGTTTCTCCACTTTTTTGATACCTTACCATCAGCACACAACAGCTCTATCATCTTGAGTTGCCTTCATTTTTTTTTTTTTTTTTTGGAGATATCATCTTGAGTTTCCTTCATTTTTTTTTTTTTTTTTTGGAGAGGTTTTCGCTATTGGGCGGGTGCGCTCGCCAGAGAGACAGAAAGCGAGAAATCACCCCCCAGGGGGGATGGTCACGCCGCAATCCCTTCTCCTCCATTCTCCTCTTGGGATCTTGGGCACGCACGCACACGCGCCTGGCATGAGTTCTAAGCCACCGGGTCTGGGACGCGAACCACGGTCGACTATGTGGGAGTCCAGCGACATAGCCATTACGCTAACTGCTGGTTCCCTTGAGTTGCTTTCTTATCCCTACCTCACCTTCCTGTGGACATGCCTCGTAATGAAAGGATTGTACTCCTTCCTCAGGCTGTTGAGCCTTAACCCTGCCAAATCCAGAAGCTCTTTTATTTATTTATATTTACTTATTTATTTTTACCTCTGGACACTATCAATCATTCCTTCTTCCTTGGAACACTTTTTTCTCTCAACCTTGGTTATTTCAGTGCTCCTGGTTTTCTCTACCTCACTTGGTCATTTACAGGTTTCTTTGCTGACTCCTCTTTCCTGGACGTACCTGTGCCCTTCCTTCTCTGTGTTCTCTCTGGGTGACCTCCTGTCATCCATGATTGATGACCTGGGCCTCTTGCAGGCACAGTAAGTGCTTGTATATGCCATCTCTCAGATACATCAGGTGCCACTTTTCTTCCACATCACCACTGTCCAGGCCTGATGGAGACTGCCCTGTGCATCATCTCTCAGCAGAGCTGCTGGGATCACATCTTACCTGGGCTCCCTTATCCACTTTGCAATCTTTTTTTTTTTTTTTTTAATGACACTATATTGTGTGCTTTATTTTTTTTTCATTATTTTAAAATTCCATATTATTATTACTTTAAATATTCTACCACTATGCATCATTTGGGTTGTAAAGAGAATTACCCAACGTGAAATAAACCTTAGACCAGACCAGTTGAGAATACTATACACATTACCATCGGCAGATAATAAGCCATTTCTGTGTCCCACAAATATCTTGCTTTTCTATTTTTTCTCTCTGGTTTCTTTCTGTATACTCTTCCCTTCTCCCACCCTCCTTCCACACTGTTTCTAGTGTCCATAACTTTTTACTGCTTTTATATCCTCTAATCTTTCAATCTCTACCATAGAATGTGGGCAGTTGGTCTATATTAAGTGGAGACATACACTGTTTCTCTTTTATAGACTAACTTACTTCACTCAGCAATAAAACTTCCATATTCACCACTTTCTATCAAATACCAAGGTCCTGTTTTTTATGGCTGAATAGTAGTCCATAGAGTATATGTGCCACACTTTTTCAATCCATTCATCTATTCGTGGACATTTGGGTCAGTTCTGTGTCTTCATAATCACAAATAATGCTACAATAAACATCGATGTGCAAGTGCTTTTCCAATTGAGCATTCTTTCGTCCTTTTGGTAGGTACCCAGGAGTGGGATTGCTGGATCATATGGTAGTTGTATTTATAGGTCTTTGAGTAGCCTCCATATTGTTTTCCACAGTGACTGGACCAATTTACATTCCAGTCAATAGCGTAGAAGAGTTCCCCTTTCATTCCTCTTAAACCACAACCCTGTCAACACATACCATTTTTTATATTTTTAATCTTTGCCATACTGACAGGGGCTTGGGGGTATTTCGCTGTGGTTCTCCCTTATTAGGGATGCTGAGCATTTCCTTGTATGCTTTTTGACTGTTTGTATGTCTTCCTTAGAGAGTTGTTAAGCTCATTTTCCCATATTTTAATTGGGCTAATCGTTGTTTGTTTGTTTGTTTGTTTGGTAAGCCACTTGAGTTCCCTGTATATTCTGGTTATCAGTCCCTTATCTGAGGCTTAATTTACAAAAATATTCTCCCATTTCCTATGGTTGTTGATTCATACTAATTACTGTACCCTTTGCTGTGCAGAAATTTCTTAATCTTATGTAATCCCATGTGTCTGGGGAATTATTGCCTGTGCTTTGCGGGGTCTTACTTAAGACGTCTTTTCCCACCCCAATGTCTCCCAGAGTTTCCTCAGTGTTTTCTGCCTGTATTTCAGGTTTTAGGTTCAGATCTTTGATCGATTTTGAGTTGATTTTTGTTAATGGTGAAAGATGGGATCCAGTTTCATCTTTCTGCAGGTGGATACTCAGTTTTTCCAGCACCATTTGCTAAAGAGGTTTTCCTTTTCCCACTGGATTGACTGGTATCCTTTGTCAAAAATCAGTTGGCTGTATCTTTTGGGGTTTATTTCTGGGGTCTCTGTTCTACTGGCCCACCTGTCTGGTTTTTTTTTTTTTTTTTTTTTCCAATACTATCCTTTTTTTTTTATACACCTTTTTTTTTGCTGTTTTGATTATCACAGCTTTATAGTATATTTTGGGATCAGGGAGTGAGATGCCACTTTTCTTGCCAGGATTGCTTTTGCAATACGAGGTCTTTTATGATTCCAGAGAAATTTTCTGATTGTCTTTTCTAGATCTATGAAAAATGTCTCTGGTAATTTGATTGAAATTGTGTTAAATATGTAGACTAATTTGGGTAGAATTGCCATTTTGATTATGTTAATTCTTCTAATCCAGGAACATGGGATTTCCTTCCACTTTTTGGTGTCTTTTTCAATTTCTTTTTTAAGATATTTATAGTTTTCTTTGTAAAGGTCTTTGACTTACTTGATTAGGTTTATTATTAGGTATCTTATACATTTTGTGGCTAAGGTAAAAGGGATTCCTCTCTTCAGTTCTACCTTAATCAGCTTGTTGTTTGTATACAGAAATGCTGTAGAATTTTGGAGGTTGATTTTGTATCCTGCCACTTTACTGTATTCATTTATTACTTTGAGAAGTTTTCTCATGGATACTATGGGTATCCCTGGGTCTTCTATGTATACCATCATGTCATCTACAAATACAGATATTTTCAAATCTTCTTTCCCTCTTTGAATGCCTTTTATATTATTCTCTTTCTGATTGCATTGACTAGGACTTCCAGTTCTGAAAAGAAGTGGAGAAAGTGGACAGCCTTGTTTTGTACCAGTTTTTAGTGGAAAACCTTTCAGTTTTTCCCCATTCAGTATAATGTTAGCTATAGGTTTTTCATATATAGCTTTTATTTTGTTGAGAAATGACCCTTCTATTGCCAGTCTTACTAAGAGTCTTAATCATGAATGGATGTTATATTTTGTTGAATGCTTTCTCTGCATCCATTGAAATGATCATATGGTTTTTATCTTTCCTGCTGTTAATATGGTGTAATATGTTTATCGTCTTGTGTATGTTAAACCACCCTTGCATTCCTAGAATAAAGCCTACCTGGTCGTGATGAATAATCTTTTTTATATGTTGTTGGATACGATTTGCAAGTATCCTGTTGAGAATTTTTGCATCTATATTCATCAGAGATCTTGGTCTGTAGTTTTCCTTTTTTGTCATGTCTTTATCTGTTTTGGGAATGGGGATGATGGAGCTTCATGAAATGAATTTGGGAGGTTTCCTCCCTTTGGATCTTTAGAAATAATTTGAGCAGAATGGAGATTAAATCTCTTCTTTAAAAGTTTTATTGAATTCAGAAGTGAAGCCATCAGGACAGGCTTCTCTTTGTTGGGAGGTTATTTATTACCAGTTAAATTTCCTGGCTTGTTATGGGTCTGTTCAGGCTTTCTATGTCCTCCTGATTCAATCTTGGTAGATTGTATGTATCCAGGAATTTATCTATCTCCTCCACATGCTCTTGTTTGTTGGCATATAGTCGTTCATAGTATCCTCTACTGTTGTTTTGTATTTCTACTGTGACTGTTGTAATATTGCCTGTTTCATTATGTATTTGATTTATCTGGTTTCTTTCTTCTTCTTAATCAGTCTCATTAATGGTATGTCAATCTTGTTAATCTTTTCAAAGAAACAGCTTTTGCTTTCATTTATTTTCTGTATAGTTCGTTTATTTTCTGTTTCATTTATTTCTGCTCAAATCTTTATTATTTCTTTTCTCCTGGCATTTCTTTTTTTGTTGTTGTTTTTCCAATTCCCTGAGACATGATGTTAGGTTGTCTATTTGCTGCCTTTTCATCCTTTTCTTATGCACACTAATTCTATGAATTTCCCTCTTATGACTGCTTTTGCAGTGTTCCCTAGATTATGGAAACTCTTGTACTCATTTGTTTCCATTTGTTTTCAGACTTAATTTCTTTAGTAGTTGGGAAATCATTCAGAAGTAGGTTGTATAGTTTCCATGTGTTTGTGTATTTTCAAGGATTTTTCCTAAAATTAGTATCAAGTTTAATTGTATCATGGTCAGAGAAGATGCTGGATATAGTTTCTATGTCTTTAAATCTATAAAGGCTTGATTTGTACCCTATCTTATCAGTCTTTGGAAAGGTTCCATGCAGGGTGAGAAAAATGTATATTTTGTGGCTTTAGGGTGGAGAGTTCTGTAGATGTCTGTCAAGTCCATTTGATTTATAGTATCATTTAGGTCCTGTATCTCTCGCTTATTTTTTGACTAGAAGATCTGTCGAAAGGAGATAATGCAGGGAACCAGCAGTTAGCGTAATGGCTATATCGCTGGACTCCCATGTAGTCGAACGCGGTTCGCTTCCTGGACCTGGTGTTAAAACTCAAGCTGGGCGCGTGTGCGTGTGTGCCCAAGATCCCGAGAGGAGAATGGAGGAGAAGGGATTGCGGCGTGCCATCCCCCTGAGGGATGATTTCTCGCTTTCTGTCTCTATGTCTCTCTCTGTCTGTCTGGCGAGTGCACGCGCCCTATAAAAATCTCTCCAAAAAAAAAAAAAGGAGATAATGCAGTGTTGAGATACCCACAATTACAATGTTACAACCTATCTCTCCTTTTCGCACCAGCAGTCTTTCCTTAATATATTTAGGTGCTCCTGATTGGGTGCATAATTATAAGCATTATATCTTCTTGATGAGTTAGGCCATTTACTATTATATAATGCCCTTCTTTTTCTCACAGTCTGTATTTTAAAGCCTATTTTGTCTGAAATCAGTATTGCAACTCCAGCCCTCTTTTGATTTGCATTTGCATGGGATATCTTTTTCAAGCCTTCACTTTTAGTCTATGTATGTCTTTATCCATAAGGTGCATTTCTTGTAGGCAACAGATAGAGGATTTCTGCTTTTTTTTTTTTTTTTTTAAATTCATTCAGCCAATCTGTGTCTCTTGATTGGAGAATTTAATCCATTAACGTTCAGTGTTATTATTGATATTTCTGGATATGCTCCTATTATTAAGTGAGCCATTTTCTTGGGTATATTTTGTTCTTTTATAGCTATCTGTCTGACTTTATTTTTCCTGGTATAGCACTCCCTTCAGAACCTTGTGAAGAGCTGGTCTGGTGTTGGTAAATTCTTTCAGGTTTTGTTTATCTCAGAATGATTTTGTCTTTTCTTCCCATATGAGGGACAATCTTGCCTTGTATAGTATTTTTGGTTAAAATTGTTTTCACTTAACACTTTGAATATATTTCTCATTCTTTTTTTGCTTGCATTGTTTCTGACAAGAGGTCCAACGTTAGCCTGATGGGATATCTTTTGAAAGTAACTTGACATTTCTCTCTTGCCAAATTTAGTATCTTTGTGCTTTTGGTCAATCTGGCTGTGATGTGCCTTGGAGAAGATCTTTGGTTGATTGTATGTGGGGTCCTTTGTATTTCTTGGGTCTGGATATATAAATGCCTCTCTAGGTTTGGGAAATTTTCTTCCAAGATTTCATGGAAGAGATTATCTTTACCTTCTGGGATACCAATTATCTGGATGTTTGGTTGTTTAATGGTATCTAGTATTTCTTGTATATTATACTCATTTTTCTTGGTTTTCTCAGTCTTTTTGATAATTTTTTCTAGGTCAGTTGTTTTGTCTTCTACATTTGAGATTCCATCTTCTGCATGATCTAATCTGCTTTTAATAGTTTCAAGGGAAAGGCCAGCAGTTAGCGTAATGGCTATGTTGCTGGACTCCCATGTAGTTGACCGCGGTTCGCGTCCCGGCCCCGGTGGCTTAAAACTCACACCGGGTGCGTGTGTGTGCGTGCCCAAGATCCCGAGAGGAGAATGGAGGAGAAGGGATTGCGGCATGGCTATCCCCCCTGGGGTGTGATTTCTCGCTTGTCTCTCTGTCTCTTTCTGTATGGTGAGTGCATGCGCCCTATAGCAAAAACCTCTCCAAAAAAAAAAACTCTCCAAAGAAAGAAAAAAAAAAACACATTTTAAGGGAAGTTTTAATTTCCTGTATCACTGTCTCCATTTCTAACAATTCTGTTTGATTCTTTTTTATGGTGTCTGTTTCGTCTTTCAAATCATGAAAGGACTTCTTCATCTCCTGGAGATTGTTGTCTCTTGCATCTCATTTAGTTTTGTCACTATAAATAATCAGAGTTGTTTATCTGACATTTCCACGAGTTCCATTGTGTTGTCTGTGGATGATGAGGAATTGATGTTTTCCCTTGGGGGAGAGATATTTTCTTGGTTGCTCATATTTCTTGTGCCTCTATGATGGTTTCTAGTCATCTGGTGATTTATATGTTTCTTCCTAAATTCTTCAAGTTAATTCTGAGCTTTCATAGGCGTGCAGGAGTAAGTGATTGGTGATATCTCTGCTACTGTACCTCCCTGATGCTCACCAGCAACCTGCACTGTTGTTACTGGTCTTGGATGATTCAAAGTCATCCAGTTTCTAGAGTACAGATGTGCCTGGGACTGAGCTGCTGAGCTTTAATTGAGGAAGGTAGAAGGGATGGTGTGGCTCACCACATGTGCTATGCACTTTAGAAAATGCTGAATCTTAGAATTCAGAGGTGTGTGGCAGGGGATAAGCCACAGTCTCTTTTCAGCTCAGTATCTCTGTACTGGAAGAGATATCCTGATGTGGTGGGGAGGGACACAAAGTCTTCTCAATGTCCCAGTCAACTCACCTGAGAGTTCAAAGGAAAGTAAGGGAGAGGATAAGCCATGGGTCTCTGCCTCACAGCCTCCAGCTGTAAGCGGCCTGCCGTATGGCAAGGCCCTTCACTGGAACAGATCCCAATCTTTTCTGCACGACATCCTCTGATTCTTTCCTTATTGTCCCCTTGCATAAGCTTTTCAGTATCTTTGCATTACACTTGAAAGAAAATCCAAAATAGAATATCTGGCATTTGCAATATTTTACAAAAATGCTGTAGTTCCTATTGTACTCCTGTAGGGGTCTAATGGTTGTATTTCCCCCTGTGATATAGCAAGGTCTGTCATAGTTATCTGCATATTCTCTGACCTCTCTCATTTTGAATTTTGATGCGTGTTTTTTTTAGAGAATTGTCTGGAACTTGAGAATCATGGCACCACAACTGTGAAGTGGCACCTGTCCTCTTTAGCTCCACCTTATGTCAAGGTCAGTCATGATTGCCTTGAGTATTGATTGATATCATTTGTGGTTTGTTCCACCAGTTCATTTACTTGTTCATTTGTTTGTTTGTTTTTTTCTATAGATGGGGATGATACTTGCCCATGTTTTTTACACAAGGTAGTTTTGAGAGATTAGTTATGAAATGTGTGAAAATACATGCTTGGTTCATGTAATACTGCCTCTTAGCCTTGATTTTTATCTGAAATAACTTTATTTTTAAAATAATTATAAAGCAATGTGTGTGTGTGCACATACATATATTTTTCTCCCCTGTGTTTTGAAGTACCATTATATGTTTTTAGCCCAGGAGATTAGTTTTTTAGATAGGTTGACCGCTCTTTGCCATTGAGTGTTGTCCCACCTTTTACTGCAGTATCTCTGCCACGGCACTGCCTGAATCAAGTTTTTTGTTTGTGTTGTTTAAAACAATGACTGTTTAGTACTAGCAAAATGTGTGTAAAAGATAGTTACTGGACCTGCTACACACAGAGAACAGGTACTGGTATTGCATAGGATATTAAAATGCAGTAGGGCTTTCAGGGTTTTTGAGGAGAAAATAGTCATTTGACATTGTGAATAGCATCAAGATTGCTCTAGCCAGGAAGGTCGTAAAGAGCCCGGCATGTGACTTCTTGGGTGGTGGTGCCAGCAGTGTGAGGTCTTGTGCAGAGATGAGGTAAGTGGCAGGCACTCCCACTGCTAGGATGCACAGAGCTTTCCTGTCTGCTGCTAAGCTTGGTGTGTTATTGATAGCCTGAAAAATAATGGTGTCACTGTTGAATCAATCCAGTACATTGTATATTTTTAATTTGATTGTTTAAATGATTACTTTGCAGGGAGTTGATGACAGTGGAGATATTTTTAGAGCTACCTATGCAGCATTCAGATGTTCTCCTATTTCTGGCATACTAGAAAGCCACGAAATCCAAAAGGTAAGTTTTGCTTTTTTTTTTTTTTTTTTTTTTTTAAAGATGTTTGCCATAGAGCACAAAAAAAATTCCCACATTTTTGCTGGGGGAGTGAGAGAGAGACACAGAGACAGATAGTGAGAAGGAAAGTGAGAAATCACCATCCAGGGGGGAATGACCACTCTGCAGTCCCTTCTCTTCCATTCCCCTCCTGGGATTTTGGGCATGCACGCACATCTGCCCAGTGTGATTTTCAAGCCATTAGGACTAGGACTCGAACCACTTTGGCTATGTGGGAATCTGGTACCTTAACTACCATGCCACCTGGTGGCCCCTTTTTTTTAAGAGAGAGATTTTTTGCTATAGGGCATGTATGCTTGCCAGAGAGAGAGAGACAGAAAGCAAGAATTCACCCCTCCTCCGGGGGTGGTGGTGTAGTCATACCACAATCCCTTCTCCACCATTTTCCTCTCAGGATTTTGGGCACACATGCACACATACCTGGTATAAGTTTTAAGTCACTGGGTCTGGGACTCCTGCTGCAGTCGACTACGTGGGAGTCCAGCAGCATGACAATTGCACCATCTGCTGGTCTCTTGACATTCGTGGTTTTTTTTTTTTTTTGGAGAACTTTTTGCTATCGGGAGCATGCGCTCGCCAGAAAGACAGAGAGAGACAGAGAAATAGAAGGTGAGAAATCACCCCCCAGGGGGGATAGCCACGCTGCAATCCCTTTTCCTCCATTCTCCTCTTGGGATCTTGGGCATGCACGCACACGTGCCCGGTGTGAATTTAAGCCACCAGGTCCGGGACTCAAATTGCATTAGACTACATGGGAGTTAAGCGACATAGCCGTTATGCTAACTGCTGGTCCCTCTTGATATTCTTTTTATAACCACTTGGTAAGAACCTAAAGTGAATCATCCAGGATCCCACCTATTTTAGTTCATTTTACCAAGACTGGTGCTACTTGCAGAGCCAGCCTGCCCATAAGAGAAGAGGCTTGCCCTGATGTAAGGCAGCATATTCATATTGCCCTGCAGCAGAACACCTTTGTGTGAAAAAGTCATCAGCTAAATCAGACATAGTGTTTCATGATAAAGATTGTAGACTGCCAACACTTACCACACACTTCACTCATCTGGGCTATAGTTTTGTCTACTAGTCATTGCCAGAAAAAGCTACCAAGGCTCGAAATAACTCAGTGTTCTTAACATAGTTAACAGTATATTTTTATGGGTGACAGATCCCTTTAGCTACTATGACCCTCTGAAATTTTAATTCATTTCTAGACCTGACATAGTCTTTTGAAGTATCTCCCAGTGACACTAGTCATTCACTGATCTCAGTAATAAACCTTTTTATTCTGCTTGCTAAAACTCATTTGCACTGTAGCACTTAATGTGCTACTGGCCCATTTATTGTCAGACTTCTAATCTGATCTCAAATATAGCACTGAACTCATAACTAATTAAAACAGAGTCAGAGCAGCTGTAGTTATTGCAGACTCTGTGTCTTTTACAGGGTCTGTATAATAGGCTTTCAGAGGGTTTCTTATACAGTTTTTGTTGTTGTTTTGTTAAAGACACACAGTTCTGTAAGTATGGTTTATTTAGTTTCTTAAATCACAACAGAAGCAAAGAAGTGAACAGGGCACATTACTCAACAAAAGTTAGCATAAGAGAAGAGATTGCAGCAGCAAATGTCATGGATTGCAAGACTTAACGTTAAAACAACAGTACTATCTGAATTGATCTACAGATTCAACATAAGTCCAGTCAAAGCCCCAGGTGTTTTTGTTTGTTTGCTTGTTTTCTTTTTATTTTATTTGTTTTGTTTTGCTTTGAAATTGACAAGCTGATTCTAAAATTCATATAGATATGCAAGGGACCTAAAATAAAAATAATTATCCAAAAGATCAAAGTTGGGAGACATATGCCTTCCATTTTTAAGACCTACTACGTTATAGTATTCAAAACTGTAGTAGACATCTAGAGTTCCACAGACACATGGAATAGAATTGAGAGTTCCAAAATAAACTCTTATGTTTATGGTCAATTGATGTATTTTTTTTTTTTTGGTCAATTGATTTTTTTAAGTTAGGGTACCAAGACAAGTCAATGGGGAAGGGGTGTTTCTCAACAGATGATGCAGGGACAAATGGACGTCCACATGGAAAATAATTAGGATGGACCTTTACATAGCACCATATACAAAAATTAACTCTAAATGTAGGAACCATAACTATAAAATCCCTAGAAAATAACAGGAGTGAAATTTCATGACCTTAGGTTAACCATTGTTTTCTGAAATATGACACCAGTAAAGTATAAGCCAGAAAAGAAAAAAACTAGATGAATTATCAAAATGAGAAACATTAGTGCAACAAAGTGGCACCATCAAGGACGTTAAAAAAAGGGTCAGCAGGTGGCATAGTGGGTTGAGGCACTGGACTCCCACATGGATAACCACAGTTTGAGTCCTGGATTTGGCAGCTTGAAAATCATGCTGTATGTGGGGGCATGTATGACCAAAATGCCAGGAGGAGAATGTAGGAGAAGAGATTGCAGCGTGACCATCTCTCCTCGGGGTGCTTTCTCACTTTCCCTCTTACTGTCTCTCTCTGTCTCTCTCCAGTAAGTGCACATGCTCTATGACAAAAGACAATAAATAATAAATAAATAGAAAAGAGAAGAAAAAAAGAAAGTGAAAAGGTTACCTACAAAGTGAGAGAAAATATTTGCAAATCATATATTTTACAAAGGACTTGTGTCCAGAAGATGTAGTAAACAATTGAATATGAAGGCAAATGGGGCTGGCAGATGGTATGATGGTTAAAGGCACTGGGCTCCCACATGGCCAACTGTGGTTCAAGTCCTGGACCTGGTGGCTTCCTTTCTCTCTCTCTCTCTCTCTGTCACTCTTTCTCTCTGTAATCAAATTGGAAAATAATAATAAAAAATAAAGTTAAAATAAAAAATAATTTAAAAAAATATATAAAGGCAAATTATATAAAGGCAAATGAATCAATTTAATGAATGACTAGATGATTTGAGTGGACATTTCTCCCAAGATAAGTCAGTAGCCAAAAAGCATATGGAAAGATGTGTAAGAAAACAAGTCATTAGCAAAATACAATCAAAACCAGAAATGAGCTATCATTTCATACCCACTAAGATGGCTGACTTAAAAAAGACAGACAATAATAGCTGTTGGCGAGGCTGTGGAGAAATTTGAAACCCTCATACGTTGACTGGTGCGAGTAAAGTGGTACAGCCTCTGTAGAAAACAGTTTGATGGTTCATTAAGCTTAACTGAATAACCCAACAATTCCATTTCTGGATATATAGCAGAAGAATTGAAACAGGTGTTCAAATGAAAACTTGAGCATGTTTGTTCGTGGTAGACTTATTTACAACAGCCAAAAAAAAAAAAAAAAAAGTAGAGAATAACTTGAATGATCATCAACTGATAAACAGATAAACCCAATGTGGTATATCTATGCAATGCTATATCATCTGGCAATGAAAAGAAATAAAGTTACTGCTACATAGTACTGAATGAATGAACTTTGAAAACATGCCAAATGATGGGACCAGCAGTTGGTATAATGACTGTGTCATTGGACTCCCATGTAGTCAACCATGGTTTGAGTCCCAGACCTGGTGGCTTAAATTCAAGCCAGGCATGTGCGTGTTTGTGCCCAAGATCCCGAGAGGAGAATGGAGGGGAAGGGATTGCGGCATGGCCATCCCCCTGTGGGGGTGATTTCTCGCTTTCTGTCTCTCTGTCTTTCTGGTAAGTGCACACACCCTATAGCAAAAACCTCTAAAAAATAAATAAATAAATAAATGCTGGAACCAGCAGTTAGCGTAATGGCTGTGTCGCTGGACTCCCATGTAGTCGATGGTTCGAGTCCAGACCTGGTGGCTTAAACTCATGCTGGGCACGTGTGCGTGCGTGCCCAAGATCCTGAGAGGAGAATGGAAGAGAAGGGATTGTGGGGTGGCCATCCCCCCTAGAGGGTGATTTCTTGCTTTCTATCTCTCTGTCTTTTCTTCCTGGTGAGCACATGTGCCCTATAGCAAAAAATCTCTCCAAAAAAAAAAAAAAATCACATATTATGTGGGGACCAGCAGTTAGCGTAATGGCTATGTTGCTGGACTCCTGTGTAGTCGACCGCTGTTTGAGTCCTGGACCTGGTGGCTTAAAACTCACGCCAGGCGTGTGTGCGTGTGCGCCCAAGATCCTGAGAGGAGAATGGAGGAGAAGGGATTGCGGCGTGACCATCCCCCCGGGGGTTGATTTCTCGCTTTCTGTCTCTCTGTCTGTCAATATATTTCTGGCGAGCGCACACGCCCTATGGCAAAAACCTCTCCAATAAATAAATGAATCACATATCATGTGAAAGGTAAATCTATAAAGATGGAAAGTAGGTGAGTGGTTACTAAGGTTTAGGGGTGAGAGTGGAGAATGGACAGTGACTACTGATGGTAAAGAATTTCCTTTTGGATTGTTGAAAATGTTTTAAGATGTGATTGTAATGATGACTGGACAGTTCTTTAAATATACTAAAAACCACTGACTGTACCTACTTGATACAGGTGAATGTTATATTTTGTGTTCTTTTATGTATGTGTTGGTCAGTCAGGTGTGGTTACAAGAGGAGACATAGGAGAGGCACAAGAAAGCAAAGTTTATTATACTCACAGGTTCTGGAGAGGAGGTTACCGCATGCCATCCAGGAACACCAGGGTGGTCAGGCAGCAGAAGACAGGAGTAAGGCAATCGCTTAGACCCAGCCTTTGTTGGGGTGTCCATGGGAAAGGTAAGACAGGGCATGGCAAATAGTATAGAGCTGACTAGTTAATATTTTTGGCAGTTTCTGAACATAGAGGTGGTTTGTAGTTGCCTGGTACCTGGCCATGGGATGACTAAAGCAGAGAAGACATTGCCTCCCTGCGATTTGAGGAGGAGCTGTGGCTCTGCATTGACTGGTTGGCATATCAAAGATGTGCTACTGGCTGAGCCCTTTGCTACCTTGTACAAAGTGACTGACCTCACCAAAATGTTTTATTAAGATGTTGAAACATCATAATATATAGAACACTTAAGTGTGAATGATACATATAGTTGTGAACTGAATCTCCATAAGGCTGTTAAAAAGAAAAGGAAAACGATTCCTCCATTTCATAAAATAAACATGAAACTGTAAGCTCCATGAAGGCTTTGGTTGTAGTGTTAATCACTGTATATCCTGCACTGAACTGTTTACCACGTTGTAGATAATAAATCTTTGTCAAATGGATGCTAAGTCTGGTTTCTTAGTTTGTATTAGGGATGAAACAGCAAACAAAGCACATCTGAAACTGTTTAGGAAAGTAATACCAAATAGTACAAAACCGATGTGTATAATAATAACCCAGAAGGAAGAAAAAAGTTAATTAGTTATAACCCGTTAATATGACATCCTTTTTTAAAAACATATTTTTGGTTTGATGTAAGGATTAAATGAAGTAATGAACATTAAAGTTCCCAGTACATACCTTGAGTGTAACAGTGTTAGTTTTCTCCCTTCTCTTTGTTTTGGTTTGTTTGAAGGCGGAAATTGGTATTACATGGTACTCTCAATTGTTTGAGATAATGCTATATCTTCACCATTCAAGACATGGTTATTTTCAACTTTCGTTCCTTTATCTTCTCAGTGTATTCTCTTAGTGTAATTCCCTAAACTTAGTACTGTTCTTTGACCAGTCCTGCCTGTGACTTTATGCTCTTAGATATCTTAAACTCAAACTTGCTGCGTTATTTATGTTCCACATGGGCAGAAATTAGGTCATTTAAACGTCTTAATGATTATTTAAGTCTAGACTCAGAGATAAAAAATTCATTGTTAATCTAATTGGTGATCAGTATTAGTAACACAAAATTATTTGATAAAATTAAGGCTCTTTTTTTTGGAGAGGTTTTCGCTACAGGGCACGTGCGCTTGCCAGACAGACAGAAAGCGAGAAATCACCCCCCAGAGGGAATGGCCACGCCGCAATCCCTTCTCCTCCATTCTCCTCTCAGGATCTTGGGCACACACGCACATGCGCCTGCCGTGAGTTTTAAGCCACCGGGTCTGGGACGCGAACCGCGGTCGACTACATGGGAGTCCAGCGACATAGTCATTACGCTAATTGCTAGTTCCCATAAAATTAAGGCTCTTAATGGTGGCAAATGTTATAAAATACCTTTTTTTTGGGAGAGGTTTTTGCTGTAGGGTGCGTCTGCTTGCCAGAAAGACAGAGCGACAGAGAGACAGAAAGTGAGAAATCACCCCCCAGGGGGTTGACCATGCTGCAATCCCTTCTCTTCCGTTCTTCTCTCTGGATCTTGGGCACACGCACACATTCCCAGTGTGAGTTTAAGCCACTGGGTCCGGGACTTGAATCGGGGTCGACTACATGGGAGTCCAACATAGCCATTATACCAACTGCTGGTCCCTAAAATACAAATTTTAAATATTAAAATTTTCTCATTATTGAGCTATTTTTACAGATTATGCACATTCAGGACATATATAACCTTGAGCTGTCTAGTCAGGGTAACTGGCTCTGACTGATACTCTGAGGTTAGTCATAACAAAAGTTTTTATTATTTAGTTTAATGGTTCTTATTCTACTTCCTGTTACTGCCCACCCTCCCTTCACTGTTACATAGTAATAGTAATTTCTCTACAATTAATGACTCTTGCTAGACCCTTGTCCTTTTTCTGCTTGGCCAGCAGAGGGTTCCATAAGCATTGAGATGAGAGTGGCTTGTGTTTTTGTGATAAGTTCTTTCTCTTGTACTTGACAGCTATAATGATTCTGGATAATCATTTTTCTCCAGAAAAGCATTTACTGTAGATTTTGAAGACTACATTATAAAAAACCTTCAACAAAAATGTATATTGGATGTGGCATAAGAATAAGCCCACTAGAAATAAAATTATTCAAATTATTTTTCAAGTAGTGGGAAAACCAACCAATGTGAAAGCATTTTTTACTTTAATTTCTTCATATCAAAATTTTTAATTGGTTCTAACTACCTGTATATAATATTTTGTGTCTAAGTTTCTCTTCTGGATATGTTTTGTGTAGGTCTCCATCACATTTTTGCCCAGAGATAAAGGGAATTATGCCCAGTTCTGGGATGTTGAATGTCATCCTCTTAAAGAGCCTCACATGAAACACACATTGAGATTTCAGCTCTCTGGACAAGTGAGTATTACAGTGAATGTGAACATGTTATTGTGTATTTGTTAAAAACACTAAGTAAAACTGTCACAAAATAATTGGCCTGGGCCACTAGGTGGCATGGTGGTTAAGACTCTGGACTTCCACATAACTGACTGTGGTTCTGGAGGCATGCTTTCTTTTCGTCTCTCTCTGGTGAGTGCATGTACCCTATAGCTAAGAATTTAGAAATAATAAATTAATTAATTAAATTAAATAAATAATTGGTTTTTAAAATATGGCCTGAAAATGCAGAAGGTGATATATAAGGAACACAAGCAACTTATCTGCAGAAAAACTAGTTATCCAGTTTAAAAATTGGCAATTGACCTTATTAGACAACTTTAAAAGGAAGATATATGAATGGCCAAAAAATATATGAAAAAAAGTTCAACATCTCTTATCATAAGGGAAATATAAATTAAAACAACAATGAGGTATCACTTAACACCAGTAAGAATGTCTATGATTGAAAAAACAAAGAACAACTAGTGCTGGCATGATGTTGTAATGAGAAGGGAACCTTCCTGCACTGTTGGTGGGAATGTAAATTAATAGCCAGTGTGGAATATATGGAACAATATGGAGGTTCCTCAAAATTTTACAGTTGAGGGCCAGCTGGTGGTATGGTGGTGAAGGCATACCATACCAGCTGGATTCTACATGGTCAACTGTGTGGTTCTAGTCCCAGACCCAAAGATTAGAAAAACACACTGGGCATGAGTGCTTGCATGACCAGAATCCCTAGACGAGAATGGAAGAGAAGGGATTGTGATGTGTCCATCTTCCCTGGAGTGTGCGTTCTCACTTTCTCTCTCTCTCTCTTTCTGTCTATCTCCGGTGAGTGCACGTACCCTGTAGCAAAACTGTAACAGGAAAAAAAAAAAAAAACCCCACAAAATACAAACAGGAAAAAAAAAAAAAAAAAACCCCACAAATTACAAGTAGAACTACCATATGACCCAGTAATCCCACTCCTGGGTCTTTACCCAAAGGATGGGAAATCACTCAGTTGGAAAGCCACTTGCACATTATTGCAGCATTATTCATGATAGCCGTGACATGAATCAGTCTAAGCGTCCAACAGCTGATGAGTGGATTTTAAAAATGTGGCACATATACAGTGGAATAATAGTCATATAGAATAATAAGATCTTATCATTTGGTACAGAGTGATTGAATCTAGAAGATGAAGTCCTGAGTGAAATAAGCCAGACTATGAAAGACAAACACTGCATGTCCTCACTCAATGTATATCAAATGTTTGCGCTCTATGACAGAAATTGAAAGATTTGAAGACATAAATAGAGAAGACAACTCTATATACCAGAGACTGTATGAGGGGTGTAGGGTAGGAGACAGGAGGGATTCCAGAAAAAAAAAAAAACATTTGACAGCCAAAGGAATGCAGGTAGATGGGGTAAATGGGTTGTAGAATGGCATATCACAACAGACTGAAAAGAACAAGCAATTACCAGTCTTGTATGTATGTATGTATGTGTGTGTGTGTGTATATATATATATATCTCCAAAAAAAAGAAATGAAAAAAGAAAGAAAAAACAATAGAGCAAAATTAATGTTATACATCATGATGTTTTGTCCTTTGTTGAAAATGATGTATATGGTATTATTTGGTTTGATGATTGTACACTGCATGCATGCTTTGAGAATCCAAATTGTACCCTACAATGATGTACAACAATAGATGTAAATAAATTATAAAATTTTTTTTTAAATGCAGAATTTTTTTTTTTTGGCATTATTCCTGCTTTACTGATTCTACTGTGTATCCCCATAATGTTGTTTGTTTTGTTGATTGGCATGTTTAAGTTCTAGGTATGTCTCCATTGTCACATGAAACTCATGTTTGACTTAATTATGTAAAACACTGGGTTTGGGGCCCATAGGTGGCATGGCAGCTAAGGCTCTGGATTCCCACATGGCCTGCCACAGTTCAAGTCTCAGACCAGGCAACTTGAAAATCACAACAAATAAATACATAAATTTAAAAAAGGTTAAAAAATGTTTTAATGGAAAAAAAAAAAGCACTGTGCATGTTTGTGTGTGTGTGTGTGTGTGTGTGTAAGTGTGTTGAGACAGAATAGACAGTATATAGTACAGGGTTTGTAATTTAGGTGATTTAAAAATCTTAAGTCTCCTTTTATAATTTTTAGAGGAAATGATAAAATTCAAATATGTGAATATCTGTTTTCCCTACAGTGTTAATTTCTCTTCCCCCACCCTGTGATTTTTCTACACAGAGTGTCAGAGCAGAAAATGAGTCTGAGAGCACATCTATTTCCATGGATACTCTTGTTAAAATAGATAATTTAGTTAAATCCCGAAGACGAGCTGTGTCAGAGGCATCTACCCTCATACCTGGGTATGTTGTTTCATCATTCTTAAGACTTTTTTCTAGTACTTTATTGAGGTATAGTTATATTCAGTGACATGCCCAATGACTTTATCAGTTCATATAGGTTATTAATACTCTAACCAAGGTGCAGAATATTTCTCTCACCCTGGAAAGTTCTAATGTGTCTCTTTGCTGTCAAAGTTTGTTGTGTTTTAATTTCTATTATCAGAGACTGATTTTGCTTGAACTTCATGTACATGTACACTCTGGCTGCTTTCTTTTTTTTTTCCTAAGAATCATTCTATTTAACTTTATTTATTTTTATTTTATTTTATTTATTTAATTTGACCAGAGTGAGAGAGAGAAAGTGAGAAAGCAAACCACCAGGTCTAGGACTCAAACCTCAAATGACTGTGGGAGTCCAGCGCCCTTAACCATCACGCCATCTGCTGTCCCCTCAAAATACTGTCTTAAGGATTCATTGGTTTCAGACTTATTAGTTCGTTATTGTTTGTTGTTTAGTATTCTATTATATGAATGTATTACAATTTATTCATTTTTCCTAATTTTTTTTTTCTTTTTGGAGAGATTTTCGCTATAGGGCACGTGCGCTCACCAGACAGACAGAGACAGAGAGACAGAAAGCGAGAAATCACCCCCGAGGGGGCATGGTCACGCCGCAATCCCTTCTCCATTCTCCTCTCGGGATCTTGGGCACGCACACGCATGTGCCCGGCGTGAGTTTTAAGTCACCGGGTGTGGGACGCGAACCGCGGTCGACTACGTGGGAGTCCAGTGACATAGCCATTATGCTAACTGCTGGATCCCCTGCTGATATTTGGACGTCTTATAATTTGAGGCAATTTTGAATTAGAGTGCCGTGAACATTATATTGTGTGTATTTTTTTGGACATATTTTTGTTTCTTTGGGGTAAAAAAAAAATAATACCTAATTTTACTCAAAATTGCTGGTCACACATGATAAACATGTGGTTAACTTTAAAATAACCTGCCTTGGGGCCAGCAGGTGTCATGGTGGCTAATGCGCTGGATCCCACATGGTCGACCATGGTTCAAATCCTAGACCCAGAGGCTTGAAAAATCACACTGGGCATGTGTGTATTCCAAAAATCTTGAGAGGAGAATGGAGGTGAAGGGATTGTGGCATGGTCATCTACCTGGAGAGTGATTTCTCATTTTCCCTCTCTCTGTCTCTGGGAAGCACATGTGCCCCATGGTAAAAACCTTATTATGAATAACCTGCCAACTAGTTTTCTTGAAGCTGTTGTACTTATATTAAACAAGCACTAGATTCCTAAAAACTTCAAAATGTGAACTTTGTATCAGCAACTAACAGCTTTAATGATATTATTTGTATATTATAGCTAATAAAAATGTTCTTTTTAATCTTTAATAAAATTTAATTTTATTCTGGAGAAAGATGCTTGGAAGAAAAATATATGTTAGATATCTGTTGGATTTAAATTTGGTCATTTATTTTGTTATAAGAGCAAATACTACATTTTGGAAGAAATTAGAACCGTTAGGGAATCTATGTTCTTAGCCTCCTCCCTCTGTGCCGTCAGTGTGCAGTCATTGCATACTTCCTGAGTGCTGTGTATCGGAACTGGAGACAAACGAGAGCGAGCAGAGTTCTCTGTTCCTGCTGCAGTGGATGCTCTTCTCAAGGAGGAACCGTAGCAAACCATAATCTCAGTAACCTGTTTGATTACAAACCATGGAAAAGTGATGGGAAACATAGGAAAACATGACAGGCAGGAGCTCGGTTTGTAGAATCTGGGAAATATTTCCTGAAAAAGGACATTGAAGTTGAGGAGTAGGAATTGAAATAGCCTAAATGAAGTATGTAGAAATGTCCAGCTATGTGAAGGACAGGGTGGTAGAGATTGTTGACTTTCGAGTAATCAAGAGATTCCCAGGTTTGGGCGCATGTGGGATGAGAGAACAGTGTGGTGCGGTGAGACTGGAGAGGAAAGTGGGCAGCCCGCAGACCACCCTGAGAGCTGTTGGGAGCCATGGCATGATATGATCAGATTTGATTATCAATAGAAAAATCCTCTAATTGTAGTAGGGACTGATTAGGAGACAAGGGGATATAGAGAAAGAAGGCAGAGCTACTTCTGAGTAGTCCAGGACGAGTAAGTACAATAGTGTCAAGGAATATTGAAATGAGTGGACAGGTTTGAGAAATGTATAGGAAGCAGACTTGAGAGCCTCAGTGAGAAGTTGGATAAGGGAATGTGAATGATAAAGACGATGTCAAGGCTGGCTCCAGATGCCATTCTTGGAAACTGAAAATATAAGGGGAAGATCTGGTTTGAAGAGAAAGATCATAAGTTTAATTTTTTTTATCTGTAGAGACTGAGATATCTTTTGAGATACCCAGAGAGATAATTGTGTAGTGACTGAATATATAGGTTTATTGCCTAGAGTCTAAGCCTTAGCTAAAGGTATAGGTCTAGACTTCATGTAGGTATATATAAGATCCATGAGTCCACTGCAGGATGGAGTTGCTAAGAAGAGTACAGTGCAAGCAGAGCCAGACCTTAGGAAACAGCGGTAGGAAGGCGAGGGAGTGGAGGTGAGCCTTCAGAGACCTGAGAGTGGCCACAGAAGTTAGAGTTAGTGGTGTGGAATCAGGAAGCCAAGGCAGTAGGAAGTGCTAACCACCATCAAAAGCTGCCAAGAGGCCAGAGCTTATATCAGGCTCTCAGAATATATGGTCTGTAGCCCAGAAGCAGTTAGGAGCAGCCAGTGGGCTATAATGTGACTAGTCCAGATAACATGAACTAAACTGATGTGAATGGACCACCTCAATACAAATGAGGTTTGAGACAAGTAGAGAGCCAGGCTTTAATGGCAGGGTGGCGTGGGCTTACAGCAGCGCTTTTGAAGCATCACCTAACCTAGCACCTTCTATGG